AATTTATTTTAATGGCAGCTGATTTCTTTCTGTCCTTAATAGAGTTGTATGTAAACCTTCAAGCACAATTGTAAGACATCCTACAATACAATATAACTGCCTAATATTAAATATTTTTAGTAAAACCTTACCTATACAGACATCTTCTTATATCTCTAGCATTTTTTTTGAAGAATAATGTTACTATTTTTTATTCATCTTCCATTTTGTCATTCCCTGTGTTTGTGTTTTCAGTAATGATGCAGCAGAATATCCAGCCCTCTTTTTCTGTTTATACATCAGGCTCAAAGTGGGACAGCTGCCTGTCTCCAGCAGTCTATGAGCGAAAACTGGGGCACACCCTGGACAGATCACCGCAGGAGAATGAAGAAACACAGACCTAAGGGCAATTTAGAGGTTCCCATTAACATAACAGCCATGTTTATGGCCTGTGGGAGGAAGCCAGATTTTAAATGAACCTGAACAGAATAGTGTCTGTTTTCTTAGCTACCTCCAACACCGCTGATACTCTCTTTCAGCTTCATCTTAAACAAATCGTCTAAGTTGATTTAAATTTTAGTAGATTTCCCTTTAGGTTGCATGTAAAAAAATGTTATGTTCCCTATTGAACAACCACCACCTCCCAGTTGGCTCAGACACTCGTGTATCCTCTCTGAAAGTTTCCTGTTTTCTTAAGAAGCGGCTCTTGTGTCAGTTGTACATGAACAATAGAGCGGTGGAAGCATTTTTTCGCTTGCCTAAGAGTTGGGTGAGGCAAACGTAATGTTTTGCACAACAATGAAAACTGAAGCACAACTATCAGTGCAACATTATCCTCTTCACCGTTCAAGAGGCTTAAAAAAATGTAAACCACTTAAGTGTCTGATATAGGAACAGAAGCAGTTAAAAATATTGTAAACAGAATATTCTGAGAAGCGAACAAGATGGGTGTGTGTGTGGAGTCTAGCTGTCTTTATTACTCTGCTCAGAGTCTGCCTTTGACCTGTTTCTCCCAGAGGAAATACTCTTGTTTTTACTCAGGATGCTGGTGTCTACTCTAGAGAGGGTGCACATGCTGCTTTGGTGACAAGGTCGAAGTCTGGTGCTTTGGAGCTCCAGCTCGTCGTAACTTGACATCCGGATGAAGGGACAGCAGCGGAAGACTTGCTTGAAACCGGCCCTGAACCTGCAATGAAAAATAAACCCTGATATGTTAAAGTACAGATACTTAGATGTACCCATGACTGGTTTGTACCCACCTGCTGTTGAGGCAGCAGTAGATAATGGGGTTATACATGGTGGAGCTCATGGCAAGCCACAGCACTGACAGGTAAACCTGCTGGATGTACTTCCACCTAATAAGACTCTTATTGAGGCCGGTCACAATGAAGTAGACGTGATACGGCAGCCAGCAGAGGGCAAAGGTCACAACCACAATGATCATCATTTTCACCACCTAGAAGAAGAACTGTTTTTACCACATGAAAACAATCAAAGTCACAGACAGGAGCATGAATATGAAATTTCTTTTTTTTAGTAGGTTTAGTTTTACACTTGCTGTCACACACAAACTCCTATGTTTGACTGGGATACATACAGTGTATTGTTAAACTTTTCAGCCCGATTGATCCTTTCAACCTCTCGTCACATTTCAGGCTTCAAACATAAATATGTAAAATTAAAATTTTTTGTCAACAAATGGGACACAATCATGAACTGAAACAAAATTTATATTTTAAACTTTTTTTAACAAATAAAAAGCTAAAGAGTGGGACATGCCAAATAAATCGGCCCCTTTACTTTCCCTGTAGCAAACTCTTAAAATTTTAGGGAGGATCTCTAAATGATCCAATGTTGACCTAAATAGCTGATGAAGATAAATAGATTCCAGCTGTGTGTATTCGAGTCTCTGTATGAATGCACCTGCAGTGTCAGAGGTCTATTTAAAGCACACAGAGCATCAAGAAGAACAAGGAACACACCAGACAGATTCAATATACCGCTGTGAAGAGGTTTAAGCTGGATTTAGATACAAAAATATATCCCAAGCTTTAAACATCCCAAGAAGCACTGTGCAAGAGATACTATTGAAATGGAAGGTATATCAGACCAGTGCAAATCTACGAAGCCCTGACCTTCCCTCTAAATTTTCAGCTTAAACAATGAGAGGACTGAGGACAGATGCAGCCAAGAGGCCAACTCTGACAACATTCAGTTGTACATGTATACTGCTCAAATCTGTTATGGGAAAAAGCCATTTCTTAAAAATGTCAATAAAAAACTTGTTTAAAGTTTGCCACAAGCCACCTGGGAGACACAGGAGCGCTGGTCAGATTAATCCAAAATAAAACTTTATATCAATAATACAAAACATCATGTTTGGTGTAAAAGCAACACAGCTCATCCCCCTGAACACACCATCCCCACTGTCAAACATGGTGGTTGGAGCATCATGGTTTGGGCCTGCATTTCTTTATCAGGGATAGGGAAGATGGTTAAAATAGATGGGAATATGGATGGAGCCAAATATAGAAGCTTTTTGGAAGAAAACCTGTTGGAGTCTGCAGAAGACCTGAGACTGGGACGGAGATTTATCTTCCAACAAGACAAAATTTACAATAGAATGGTTCACAGTTAAACATTTCCAGGTGTTACAATGGCCAAGTCAAAGTCCAGACCTGAATCTGATTGAGAATCTGTGGAAAGAACTGAAAACTGCTGTTCGCAAACGCTCTCCATCCAACCTCATTGAGCTTAAGCTGTTTTGCAGGAAGAATGGGCAAAAATTTCTGTCACTTGATGTGCAAAACTGATGGAGACATAAAACTTGCAGCTGTAATCGCAGCAAAAGGTGGTGATATAAAGTATTAACTCAAGGGGTTGAATAATTTTGTACACCCAATTCTTCAGTTTTTTCATTTGCTAAAAATATTTTAAAATATCTAATAAATTTGGTTCAACTTCATGACTGTGTCCCACTTGTTGATTCTTAAATAAAATTACAATTTTATATCTTTATATTTGAAGCCTGAAATGTGGCAAAAGGTCAAAGTTCAAGGGGACCAAATATTTTCCCAAGGCGCTGTATTTGAGATATGTCAAATACAGATTGGTATGACTGGTATGATATGAATTCATACCAATCATATTTAATTTATGAAAGACAGAGAAAATCCAAAAGCATGTGGTTAAAACTGCACAGTTAAAAAGCATTTGGTAATTATTGTACAGCTGAGAAAATTGGGTTCTATTAGCTAAACTTTATCTAATTACATTAATAATGAAACATTTCAGCACAGCCAATGCATTTAAATACACATGAACTGTTATATAATCTCATCTAAATAAATGCTTCTTGAAAATCAAACAAATTCTAAATAGCTAAAAGAAGCAATGTTACAGTAGTTTCAAAATATTCTCAAGAGGGAATGTAGACCTCAAAATGTAATCTGTGCAGTCAGTTAATCTCACAAACTTACTTTGAAATGTGCTTTTTGTGTTTTTGGAGGTTGCATGAGTAACTGAACAAAGCATTTGTAAAGCAACAGCTTTGGCTAAATGCAGGGTGGCAAAAAATGTAATTTCATATGATTTATTCTTTTCCTGCTAATGGATCCACTGCAACTTAATAATAAAGTTAATGATATAGTAAGTTATTACCATCACTGTCTGAACTGAAGACTTAGTGCAGTTTTTCTCAGACGGCTATAAATGATCCATGGCCTTTCTTAGCAGGAGGATATTTATTTTCCTGGGTAAAACAAATCCTGCAGGTTTAAATCTCGAAGCTTTAAATGGGAAAGAGGCCCGCTCCCAGATAAAGCTGAGCACAAGGAGTCTACTTTCAATCAGAAAAAAAAAAGTTTAAACATAAATATGGTGGAATTATAAATTTACTTCTGATTTGTTTCATTTTATCAGACAATAAACCCAGTGCACCTTAATAAATATGTTTTTAAATGATCAGGGATGTTATATAAGAAGTGTAAAAACACCTTTTGGATGTATAATGATAAAGAAAATTCCTTTTAAATGTAAAACAAAAAAAAATTGTGTCAAAGCTGTTGGAGCGACATAATTAGTCCTGAATAAGTAACCTCGGATTATATTCTAAAATTAAACTATTGCCAACTACCAATTTGTTTTTATCAAACTTTTCCACATATAATTGGAGAAAGGCTGAGAGGTACAGTGAAAGGTCAGCGATGACGCATCAAACATCAGCAGCTTCCCAGCTGGAGGGATGAGCGAGCTCTACAGGCCAGTGGCTTGCAGCACAATGCAGAGGTTCAATAGGAGCAGACCATCAGCAGATGCTTCTAAATGCCATAGGTCCTGAATTCTGTCCTTTAACTTTTACAGCCAGTGTCTTAGACATTTTCTATATTAAATATCATCTTTTAATTTTTGAGCACAGTCCATAGAAAAAAATACAACCTCTGATCATGTTTCCTGCTGAAGACCTTTAAAAGGTGGTAGAAAATCCACCTCCCTATGAAAAGCTAAAAGCTTTTCATAAATAAGTTAACAAATGAATTTACTCCGTCTTTTCTATTTTTATCATGCATTCTTATGACATCAGTTAAATGAGAACCAGATGGTTATCTGGGATACGTACAAAGGTCATCAATGAAATTCATTGTCGGGAATAATCCCTGAGCTGTCTCAATAGATTCTCATCATCCCAGCTGTGACGTCCCTAATCTCTGCGCTGCCCGCAGAGAAGCTTCAACACTGTTTAGTGGCAGATGATGACAAACTGCATTTAATCATAGTCTGCAAGTTGCTGGTGAACAAGTCTGCAAAATTACACAGCAGCTTATTGGTGCACGTGCATACCATTAACCGAAGGGTGACTTTCTATCACAGATGTCTGCAGTTTCTCACAATGGGTCTTAATAATTAAAATTATAGCATTGTCAAGATACCAGTTTAGAAAATCATAGTTTAGCTGTCATTAAGAATCATTTGTTATTTCTTGATCATTGATCAGACAGCAATTAAAAAACACCTTAATGTGCAGCCTTTAAGCATATTACCGCCATCTACAGGGCAGGCGAGAGAAAGAACGTGTTTTACTCCAGTTAAATGTAATGTGACCAAAACTTAGTGCCTCTGCAATTTGAAAATTGTGAAACTTTGTTTACATTCCAGATGCTATTAATAACCCAGATTTGCAATTTTTCACTATGTCAGACTCACCACTGGTAAGTGAAAATGGGGATGAGCACGTAGGACGGCCTTACGTAATCATATCACCAGAATGATTGACAATTAGGAGGACCACTTATTTTGATGATCCACCTGGAAAAAGGACATCCTCCACTATACCTTTGAGTTAAGCAGCCTTTGCTCTATAGCTAGTTTTTGAAATGAATTATACTATTAAGTGAAAACAAATGTTTGCATCTTTTCATCAATTCCATGATGCTGCATCGATGCAACTGAACCTTTGATCACAAAAAATGTCTTGAAATACTTTCTAATTTTCTCCTCCGACAGGATGGTTTATTTCATCTTCAAATTGTCCTCACTCTAATAAAGAAACAGTTTTTTGCATTTATATTTTTTAGAACTCTTTATTTGGCATCATTTTTATATCAAAACAACTTACAAAGGCAAAGTTGATCTTCTTCTTTATAGGCATGCCATTTTTTCCAGTGCTATTGTATTTGTGACCTTTAATATTTTAAATGTAGCATTTGTTTTTGATGCAACATTTATACAGCTTTTGCTTCTATCTAGGAATGTTCTAGGATTTATCCCATAATGATCCATGGTGTAATTTAAGGTCATGGAATTATATATACGTATAATACATATTTCCTATAAAGGAGAGGATGTGCTGTTTGGTGGAGCATGTTTTTGAGATCCTGAAGGTTGCATCCAAAAGTGGCCAAATGTAACGTTCAAGGCACACCACTAGTTTAGTTACAACAACTAGAATGGAGCCCTGCCTGCTCAGTACAGAGCACATGTGTCATATGATAGAAAAGCTACCACCGGTGCCACACCAATTATGCATTTAGCACAAATTAAATCATCCTTGATAGCACACTATCTTTCCAGTCCCATATAAATAACATTACCCGGTCTGCCTATTTCCACTTAAGGAACATCAACAGCCTCCATCCCTCCCTTACCACACACACTACTGCCATACTTGTGCACAGCCTTGTCACCTCCCGATTAGATTACTCCAACTCCCTCCTCTTTGGACTTCCTCAGAAATCCCTCCACAAACTACAACTGGTCCAGAACTCAGCTGCTCGCATCATAACAAGAACTCCCTCTATCCACCACATCACTCCGGTCCTCCGACAGCTCCACTGGCTCCCCATACAGTTCCGCATTCACAATAAAATTATCATGGTGACATTCAAGGCACTTCACCACCTTGCCCCCCCATATCTGTCAGACCTCCTGCATGTTCCCACCCCCTCCCGTGCTCTTGGATCCTCATCTGCTTTGCACCTGTCTGTCCCCTCCGCCCGTCTCACCACCATGGGGAGCAGAGCATTCAGCCGCTCTGCCCCCCGCCTCTGGAACTCTCTACCACCCCAACTTAGAAAAACAGACTCACTTCTCCATTTTAAAATGCAACTCAAATCTCATCTGTTTAAGATTGCGTATTCTCTTTAAATATCAATTTCACTGTCACAGCCTCTGTATTTTTTAAATGTTTTTATTTTGTTTCTGACACTGAGTTTTTTATGCTTTTGTACGGTGACCTTGAGTGTCCAGAAAGGCGCCTTTTTAAATAAAATGTATTATTATTATTATTATTATTATTATTACACACATGTAAGTATCATCCAAATAACTGCTACGTCCTCAATACAACTGTTTGGTGCAAGTTTAAACTTGGGGAATTCTAATCTTCATCACATGTTATAGGGTGTTATAGGGACTCCATCATTTTGTGTTGATACTTTATAACAATTCTCCAAAGACCTTAGAGAGACGAATCATAGATCTGATGGGATAATTTTATTTTAGTCTGTCACAGATTAGTTAATGATCCTTATCATCAATCATCATTTAAGCTTATTTGCTGCTTATTTGTCAGTAATGCAGCAAATGTGGCTAAAAAGAAGGAAAAAAAATGTTGCTTAGATTCACAGGGATGAAGAGAGACATAGCAACAATCCCTTAAAGGGGTCATAGAATGCTTATATAGTGTATTTGGTGCTGGTCCTTAAAGTCTCTGAATAGGGTGTGTAACATTGGTTGGGCTGAAAATGGCATATTTGCTGTTCTATGAGCACTAATGCAAGCCTGGTTTTACAGCCCTAGAATAAAACCACAGGTTTTCTTCCTTTTATGGTATGCTCATGAATATTTAGATGAGCTGTGTGCTGATTGGTTGATTTACAACGAGCGAAGCTGCTGAGCAAAAACGCATCATAGCAACAAGCACTCACTCAATGAAACATCAAACTGTTGATATGGTAGGGTAACCAGACATCCTCTTTTTCCCGGACATGTCCTACTTCATACCTAAAAAAAAAGTCTGGGGGGAATTTCAAAATCATCTGGGATTTTGGTCGACTACAGTGCAACCCCCACCAGAAATAATTATATTGTCCGCGCGCTCTCACTGGCATTACAAAAACACCACCTTGCATAGTCTAAAATCCAAGATAATTTATCCGACTCATGGGCATCCGTGACCAACTATCTATATCAAGGAGACTCCCAGAACTTCGGGTACACTTGGGATGTCTGTTACTGGCTCACTGTTCCCCTCTTACGGCTGAGGACGGGCAGTTATTGGCTCCAGTCAGGTTTGAACTTTTCTGTACGTCCATTTCACCCACTGAACTATGGTTATTCATCTATGACAATGTAAACTAGGTTTTACATTCTATGACCCCTTTAGGGTCTTATTCAAATTCCTTTCTATCCCCCTTGATTTCACAGATTTTATGTTTATCTAATAAGACAACAATATGTAGGATTGCAATAGGTTGAGCTGAAAGATGAATGCAGTGGTTACCTTTCTTTTAGCCTGAAGTTGTGTGTGGTAGTTTTCCGATGAGTCTCCAGGGATCTCACTTCCCCACAGCGATACTCCGATTACAGTGTAAGTGATGCCCATCACAGCTAATGGCAGAATGTAAACCAGAACAGTAACTATGATGTGATACCTGGCAAATAAAAATAAATAACACTTTACCAAGATGCCACAGAGCATGTCATAGACAAAAATTCAAATAAAGCTGTTAAATCTAACAATCTTGTTTCTGATGATGAATGGGTCAGCACAGCCTCACATAAAAGGGTCGTCAGCCATTCGGGGCCAGGCCACGTAGCAGAAAGTTCTGCCTGGTAATGTTCTGGTGGTGGAGAAGTAGCAGAGAGGGAAGGCCAGGACCACAGCTAGGGTCCAGATACAGAAGATAACTCCCAATGTGGCTTTTGCAGAGAGTCGAGGCTTCAGAGGGTGAATGATTGCCATGTATCTGCATGTTGAACATCAGAACACACAAGGGAACTGTTATTAAACCAGAAAAAAAAAAACCTTCTAAATGTGGATTTTCACCCATTGGAGAAACAAATAGGTAAAAGTCTACCCTTAGACAATTGCAGCATAGATGGTTACATTTCAGATGTTAAAAAAAGTTAAACGTGAAGTCAGGCACTGAATGGCTTCTTATTTCTTAAACCTTTCTGAAAACACATCCTGCAGTTTTAGAAAATATGTTAAAAGATTCTGAGCCTGAAAAATTACTGGCACACATCGAACAAAACTTCACACATAATTGCTGAAACACTTAAAGTTACTTGTGAAGTAAAAACGGAGAGGATAGAGGTGGAAACCATCTAATTGGAAGATAAATAACACTGAGAGATGTGATCAACAGTCACTTGGTGAAATCAATTTGTAAAAAAAAAAAGCAAAACAACAGATCATAGTACTGCAATGAATGGTGAGGTAAAAGATTTTAAAATGCACAATCCAAATGGAACTTAAAACAAACAAACAAACCAAAATGTTCTGCAAACTTGAAAATATATCTTATAAGATGGGTTACTAAGTAAAAAAGGTTGGGGAAAAAAAAGCGATGGGCACATCTGGGTAAGAGCTGTGCACATCTTTTCTAGATGAGCCACCTGTCTGTGGAGGTATTGCTGTGGGGTTGCTGCAGGTGGATATAGTTCTAGATTCCACAATGTTAGGTGGCAACAGAAAAAGGTCAGCAGATGTCCTAAGTATATCATAAATAACCAGGTTATTATATCAGTAAATTTCTTTGATTGTTTTGGCATACTCAAAGATTACAATATTTAATATAACAATGATTGAGAAATTAAATTAAGAATAAATATATTTAATTGGAGTAATCAGAGTATGCACAATCCAAACAAGAGTAGCAATAACACCAACTGTAACTATCATGACGTCCAGATGATAACAGCGATATTATAAATTATTCAGATTTTTTTAAAAATATATAATGTTAATTGTTCTATAAGAGAATATAAAAAACTGTGTAAATCGATTCCACTGCCTTTAATTCAATTGATTAAAAAAAACTCTAGGTTATATAATAATTACCCACCAATATTGCCCAGTTTGTTGATTTCACATTGCAATTTGCTTGATAAAAAAATGCAATAATAAATTCATTAACAGTTTTTTGAAAGCCAGAAAATTTGATGATTATGATAGATTTACTTGGAAGAGAGATATTCCTGATAATTCAGATACAGTCCATAAGGCATTCCCAGAATGACCTACTCTACCTAAAGTCAAAGAAACACATTTTAAAGTTATAAACACGATGTATCCTGTGGCAGAATTTTTAAGAAAAATATTTGGTTTTGAGGTGGATCAATGTTCCTTTTGTAATAATAATAATAATAATAGTGAAACGTTGAACATATGTTTTACCTCTGTCCTACTACACACCGCTTCTGGAAAGATTGGGTTTCTTTAAAAATGAATGATGTCTCCCCATTTGCACTAAATGATGTCATTTTTTATATGGCCCATCTTCCCCACACTGCTTCTTATACTATTAATATCCTCCTGCTGTTAGGTAAATATCGTATCCACTGTGCTAAATGGAAAAATTTTAAACCTTCCTTGCACTGTTTTATAAATTACTTTAAAACCTATTTTTCTTCTCTTAAAAATATTTTTTTTAATGACAAATATGCCAAAAAAATTGAGACTTGATTTCTCCAAACATCTGCTATTCTAAGTGCATTCACCTTTTTGATTTCATTATTTCTATGGCTCTATGGAGGACCAACTCTGCCATATTTAAAAATAAATACAGAAATAAATAAATGCTCAATAAATTAATAAGCATACAATTAGTTTCCCCCAAAAATACAATGAACAAATAAGTGTAGGTAGAAATGAAATTATACAGTGAGACATAAATGTATATATCTCTTTTAATTAGCTTCTCTTTTTGTTATAATTACCTTATTTATTTATTGTCTGTTATAATGTTTAACTATTTATTTATTACTTATTGTTTTAAGTATTTATTTATGTGCATGTGATAATATTTTGTCTGCTTTATTCTTCCTTTGTATTTTTTAACTCACCTTATTTCTTCAACGCCATTTATTTCTGCATGTCATTTTTACATTTCTGTATGCATTTCTGCCTCAATATGTAAATGAGGAAGGGTGTGTCTTAGAGAGGCAAATATTATCACATGCACATAAATAAATACTTAAAAAAATTAGTAATAAATAAATCAATATAAAATAAAAATAAGCTAATTATTACAAAAAGAGAAGCTAATTAAAAGATATAAATACATTTATGTCTCACTGTATAATTTAATTTCTACCTACAATTATTTGTTTATAGTTTTGGGGGGCAATTCATTGAATGCTTATTTATTAATTGAGCATTTATTTATTTTTGTAATTATTTTTAGATATGGCAGAGTTGCATATGCTCTGTCTATGTTTGGTTTAAATGTTTGCTAAGATAAATCCCCTGTTAGTTGTCTTACTTTTTTGTTTTTCTTTTATTGTAATTTATCTTTATCTGTTCATGTACACCTTTGCTATCCTCTCTGAGAGTAGTTTTTCCTGTAAATGTTTTTTGACTTAATAAAAAAAAAATAATAATAACTATCATGACGTCCTACCTGTCCAAGGCTATGGCTGTCATGGAGTAGATGCTGGCAAACACAGCTGTGACCGGGAAGAAGTTGTGAAACCTGCAGTAGACCTCCCCAAAGTACCAGTCTCCGTGGGCTGCGTAAATGAAGTTGATGAGGGTGTTGAAGGCAGCCATGGATGCGTCTGAGAAAGCCAGGTTCAGTAGGAAGTAGTTCGTCACGGTCCTCATCCGTTTGTGCGCAAGAACGATCCAAATTACGATCAGGTTGCCGAAGACAGCCACCAGCAGCACCGTGATGTAAGCCACGGACCAGAGCGCAACGCGCCAGGCTGGCTGCGCAAACTGGTTGGCCAGAACTCTGCTGGGGGCCGTGGTGATGTTGGAGCCATCGTGTTCAGGGGCCATTCCCCGAGGGTCCTCAGACAGAGCTGCTGCTCCAGACTCCCTTCTGTGAGAAAGAGAGATTGGTCCTGATGCTTGGAGCGCGGCGTTGCTGAAGTGGAGTGAGCGTAACCCACGCGGTGTGAATGAAGTGAAGAAAACAGAAATCCACCTCACGCTGAAAACAAATCCTCCTGTTCTTCTATTTTTATAAACCAATGACAGATTGTCTGAGAGAAGATGTTTGTTCTCAAAAAAAAAAAAAGTGTATCTGTGACACTTTAGATTCTGTGCGTAAAAGCTCAAGATGGAATTTGTTTTTTTGTAAATATTCCTTCATAGAAATAATGTTTAACAACAGCAGTTAAGACTCAATACTCACTGCAAAAATTAAACCTGACAAGCTTTCAGTTGAGGGTTATAAAGAATATTACCTGAGGTGTTTGAGATCCCTCTTGCTGTGATACTGTTAATCCTTTGTCATGAAAAGCAAAGCTGAGATATGTGGGGTGTTATGAATGCTTGTTGTGTAACCATAATCTGACTTTAAAGGGGGGGTTTGGTACATGGAGCACATGATGCAAATCCTTGGCTTACACCGACCTGGAATGTTTCTTCTAAAATAGAAATAAGTGAATTCTTATCATGGCAAACCTCATGAACAATCCACAGTGTGTGGTCTGTATTTTGTCATGATAACAGAATCTGTGTTAAATGTCGCTAATTCATGGTTTTGAATAAAGTCACAGTTACACATAGTGAGTTCAGAGGAAAAAATACATTATTACACCTAAGAAATACATATTGATTAAAACTCCCACTTAATTACAGACACAAAACAAAAAAGAATCCGACAAGAAAGGCCTCAACTTTAATGAAAAACATTTATTGCATTCTGTACAATAACAATAAAGCTTCTTCCATTTTAGCTTAACCCAAACTGGTCATGCAAACTCTTTCAAGCAGTGGTTTATGATGAAAACCAGAAGGGGAAAATTATGGATTGGTATCCTTCTTAGCGAGAAGGATGTTTGCATCCTAGAGAGGCTGAAAGATTGCCTGTTCAAACCCTTGAGCAGAACCCTTAACCCCAGAATGCCCCCCTAATACCACTAAGTGTCGCTGCCCACTGCATCCAAAGGGATGGGTTGAACACAGACAATTGAGGGATATTTTATCAATCTTCTTTAAACGGCCATGTTCACAGACAAAAAAATAAACCATTCATGCACTCTTCATGTCTGTTTCTGAAATCCGCACTGAGGGATGTTTGGAAAAAAACAGAAGATTAAGTTTCAGTCACATGAGTGAGGATTACTGGGTACAATGTGAACTTATTTGTGTCACAATTTCAAGCGAACATTAACTTTTCTTTTCACTGTGGAACAAATGAGAACATCAAAAATTGGCAGCAAATTGCAACAATATGGGAAAAATCTTTTTTTTCCTCTAAGGATGCGTTTGTTAAATAATACATGTATTTGTTTTTAGCATACAGAGTATACATTCTGATACTCTGATATAGCATCCAGTGCAACTATGTGTGTGTGTAACTGAATCTCGATAAACATCCAGCTGTTCTGTCAAGGCATAAAAAGGCACGAAAACTAACAGGTTGTTCAAGGAGAGCATTAGTTATTGTTAGTTATTAGTGAATTCCACTGTGTTAAATATGTAGTGTCAAAGTACATTGACTCTTTTAGAGTTATTACAACAACAACTGGAGTAAGATACACACTATGTACAGAGTTAATTTAACACAAATTCAGAGTGGGACCAAAAGCACTCGGATTGATGTACAATTTAAATCTTAAAGTGTTAATTTAATGCAAAATGTACTGTGTGGAAAAATCTAAAGTTCATGTGAGAGAATCCATCTTTAGGACCACATCCAGTCTTTTGCTCTACATATTGATTTTGTCATTTTTATTTCTGTAATTTTCTTTACAGAAGAGTAATAAGTAAGCCATTGTTGAAAGAAACTCATAAGACGTCCTGTTTGAAGTCTACTTCTAGCTACAATCTGTAAAGGACAAAGAAATAAGTGATCTGGTCAGAAGAGAACATACCGTAATTGAATATTAAATCTAAGTAAAACCCTATATGGGTGGTAAAGTATGTCTGAATCAGATGTGTCTAAAGAGCTCACGTTCTCTGCTTAAGTAAAGGTAGACACTTGTTTAAAAAAAAAAACACTGGTAAAATGAAAAGTACCACTTGAACTTCATTAAAAGTGTAGTTTCTACATTGTACTTAAGTACAAAAATAAAATGAAGTTTTTGCCTTAAGTGATACAAAATAACTTAAAACTCTAAAAGGTTCTATGCACAAAAAATATGTTAAATTTCCTCTTCAGGTCACAGTGACAGTAGAGAAAACTTTAAGAAATACTGACTCGGTCCAGTTTTGTTTTAACTAAAATTGCAGACAGGATAATAAAGGGCTATGGTATTCACAGCATTAACGTTGCAAAGAAGATGTAAGTTAAAATATAACTTGAAGCATAATCAAAAACAAATTTAAAATGGAATAAAGCAGGAATGGATGCAGATTTTATTGTGTCTCAGAATCTGTGATGTTTCCCACGTCCTTATCTTCATCCATGAACAAACTAAAACTGGCCTCCAACTGAAAAGTCTGTGCGACCTGTGTAGAATAGAAAGTAAAGATATTTATGTTTAAATNTCTGATACTCTGATATAGCATCCAGTGCAACTATGTGTGTGTGTAACTGAATCTCGATAAACATCCAGCTGTTCTGTCAAGGCATAAAAAGGCACAAACACTAACAGGTTGTGCAAGGAGAGCATTAGTCAGAAAAGCTGTTAAAAATAAATCTGCACAGTGAATTCCACTGTGTTAAATATGTAGTGTCAAAGTACATTGACTCTTTTAGAGTTATTACAACAACAACTGGAGTAAGATACACACTATGTACAGAGTTAATTTAACACAAATTCAGAGTGGGACCAAAAGCACTCGGATTGATGTACAATTTAAATCTTAAAGTGTTAATTTAATGCAAAATGTACTGTGTGGAAAAATCTAAAGTTCATGTGAGAGAATCCATCTTTAGGACCACATCCAGTCCTTTGCTCCACATATTGATTTTGTCATTTTTATTTCTGTAATTTTCTTTACAGAAGAGTAATAAGTAAGCCATTGTTGAAAGAAACTCATAAGACGTCCTGTTTGAAGTCTACTTCTAGCTACAATCTGTAAAGGACAAAGAAATAAGTGCTCTGGTCAGAAGAGAAAATAATTGAATATTAAATCTAAGTAAAACCCTATATGGGTGGTAAAGTAAGTCTGAACCAGATGTGTCTAAAGTGCTCACATTCTCTGCTTAAGTAAAGGTAGACACTTGTTTAAAAAAAAAAACACTGGTAAAATGAAAAGTACCACTTGAACTTCATTAAAAGTGTAGTTTCTACATTGTACTTAAGTACAAAAATAAAATGAAGTTTTTGCCTTAAGTGATACAAAATAACTTAAAACTCTAAAAGGTTTTATGCACAAAAAATATGTTAAATTTCCTCTTCAGCTCACAGTGACGGTAGAGAAAACTTTAAGAAATACTGACTCGGTCCAGTTTTGTTTTAACTAAAATTGCAGACAGGATAATAAAGGGCTATGGTATTCACAGCATTAACGTTGCAAAGTAGATGTAAGTTAAAATATAACTTGAAGCATAATCAAAAACAAATTTAAAATGGAATAAAGCAGGAATGGATGCAGATTTTATTGTGTCTCAGAATCTGTGATGTTTCCCACGTCCTTATCTTCATCCATGAACAAACTAAAACTGGCCTCCAACTGAAAAGTCTGTGCGACCTGTGTAGAATAGAAAGTAAAGATATTTATGTTTAAATATAGTGAGCAAAAGTAAAAAGCCTTCAGGAAAATAGGCACTCAAGTAATGTAAAGATTATGAAAACAATCTACTCCAGTACAATAATAAAGTATCTATACTTAGTTACATGACAGCTCTGCTCTGAACATCACTCTAAATACGATGAGACATCAGCATCCGCGGCGGTGGGGATTCTTCTCTCCAAGTGACAAGGAAGCTGGTTAGAGTTGATTGGAAGATGGATGGTGTTAAATACAGAATAATCCTGACAGGGCAGTGGGGGCACATCTCCCAAATCACCCCAAAAAGTAGAGTTGCTACTTCTAAAAGCCAGATACCACCACAGAAACATATAAATCAGCGGTAACATAAAAAGAAGGCAGAGGAGGCTAAGAAGAGCTATTTAAAAACCACATATAAGACACAACTCCAGTAAGAAAGATGAATGAAAGCATCGAAATAGAGATGATTAAAGGAGCATGAACACATTGACTGTTGTGTGTTTGGTGTGCAGTCCGCTGAGTCACACGACCTCAAGGATCACAAGGTGTTTTAATCACCTCACAGTCTACAGATGTTGGGGAATTTAAATCAAAAGCTGATGTTCCCTTTCATGTTCTTTCACCGGAAAGCATCTTCATCCATGTACAGAAAACCAGTCCACCAACACATCCCAACGGATAACAAAGCCCTTGTTTTCATGTCTTTTTGAACCCGATTTTCATTATTTGCTTCCTCTTTGTGATTGGATAAATATAATATTATTACTTACCGGCACACAAGTATGTATCTGTATCATAGATTTTTGTATTTGGCTTTAATTTAACTTCCCAGATTGTTTTAATGAACCTTTATGTTAGCTCAACTCCTTGTGGATCTAGACTTTGTGTCTTTACCTGAATAGCCCTGAATTCTCCTCACCTTTTGTCTGTCAGCTATTTACTACTAAGGCAGAAAAATGGCGGAAGTTGTGCCCACTGTGAAAAGACCACAAAAGGTCAGAAAGTCTGTTTTCCTCCCAGCAAGATCTCATTACGCAGAGACCACTTTGTTTAGACCACTCCCTGTCTCAAATGTCACTGTTGGAACCGCTTCCAAACACGCCCTGTCCTCCATATTAAAAAGGTCACTGGCTACCAAGTAATCGCTGACTGAATCATTAGCCGCATCCAAAACGATCGCGCTTTGATTCTAT